GGTGGGCTTTTCTCAAACATGAGCTTTTGTGGGTTCAAGCCCACCTGTGCCCCCAATGCCTTCAATTGCCTTCCAAGAGCTTCATAGTCCTCTTTAATTTTGTGATGGTATTCGCGGCCGTGTCATTCATTCCCACATGAACCAGCACAAACGGGTCAGTAGGTCTTATGAGTTTTGGCAGTTGGTCTGTAATATCCTGAATTCTGGCCCAGGTAAGCAACACATCTCTTAGAGTAGGGGATCTGGCCTGGACACATTCCATTCCATACCCCTGAGCAGAGAGTCCCTGACAACCACCACTTTCCGTTTCTTTACACTCGATGCCCGCTTCACTCCCTTTTCCAGGTCTTTGTGGCTCTCCTTCCACTCTCGTCTCCATCACCCTCTCAAGCACCTCAAAATTATTCTTGAGCTCCAGTGGACCAGAGCATCATGTTGGTCGATGTCCCTTACCTTCTAGCCCCTTACCTTCTAGCAGCTCACCATGTGCTCTCCACTCCTTCCCTCAAGCGAGATGACTCCATTCTGTTTCTGAAATTCCTTTGCAATAAACTGCTACTTTGAGGTCCCCCATTGTGTGGCCTCAGAGGCTGAAATGTTCTCCTACAGGTTTCTCAATTTTGTGATTCTTGATGTCAGATTTGTGTCCATTTATCCTTTGGCGTAGGGTTTGACCTGTTTGCCTTGTATAGAGAACTGAAGGGCATTGTTGGCATTTAATGGCATATACAATGTTAGAAGATGAGCAAGTGAATGAGCCTCTGATGGTGTAGGTGATGTTGTTAGGTCCAGTGACTGAGTTGTCTGGGTGTATGCGGGAGCATACCCTGAGGGCTTAACAGAGGTATTGGGTTCTTGTCTCACTACACACGCTAAGTCACTCAGTTCTCACTTAAACCCAGAATTAAACTTTGTTGGTTTGAAAGGTGCCACTGGACTCAGACTTAGTTCTCACATCTGTTTGTTAACTTTTTGTATGCTAATTTGCTGCTATTCACAGGTCTTACCAACTGCTTTAATCCAACCTTAGCTATATTTATCTCTCAGTTTACTTATGCATCTTGACTAGGGCTGCCAAGCCGCGGCGGGGGATCTGAGCGTCGTCACAGGATCCCTGCCGTGGGGGGACAGCAATACTCGTTGCACCGCTGTCGCCAGGATGTGACGCTATGCGTCGCTCTGGCAACGGGACTCCAAACAGCCCCGTTGCCAGAGCGACAAGTAGCGCCACATCCTGGCGACGGCGGTTGACGACACTCAGATCCCCCGCCACGGTTTGGCAGCCCTAATCTTGACTCTAACTAGCCCTTCCTGGCAACTAACCCCCACCCCCAGCCTCTCTCTGTAAGGCTTAAGCAAGTCTGTTTCCATGTATCTGAAGAAGTATGAATGCACATTAAAGCCACTGGACTTGGACTTTGTTCTGCTGCTTCAGACCAACATGGCTACCCACCTGAATCTATTAGGGGATTTAGTTTGCTAGTATGCTTAAGTATTTCTGTAGAAGACAGCTATAAACTAGGTGCAAGTCTATTCCTTGATAAATCTAAGAAGTCACCAACTGAATTACCTGGGCTGAGAATGGAGTGGTCACTTGGCGGCTGCTCAGCTAAATCCAAGGCAGGAGGCATTTGAAAAATAATTTCCTTGACTCCTTATGGCCTCTGTATCTCTTCTACCTGATGAGTCTCTTAATTATTAGTGAAGTCCACATGTGTAGGAAGAGAAGCATTTTCCCAGCGGTCTTCTATGTCCTTCTTAGGTTCAGTCTTGAGGCTGCCCTTTAAACCTTGGTCTGACCCCATAAGAGCCAGAAGACACACCTTGTTAATGAGCTGGTGACTGTCACTGATGCAAGCAGTGTCTTTTTTGTGTGTGTTTGTGCTATGAGGAGCCAAGCTAGAGTCTTTGTAGCAAGCTTGATTCTTGCCACCCTAGAAGTTTAATACACACAAGGAATCAGCACTTAGTTATAGTCTGAAAGTCTGCTATGGCTTTCAGATGTGTTTGAGTATAGTCCTGTAGATCTGCCATTTTGTTTAAAGCAATGTTGCCTACCATGTGTAAATGGAACTACAAATTTAATTGGTTCCCTTCTTGTCTGTGTTCTCATCTGGTGTTGAGAGATATTTAAGTATTAAGTTTCCTTCTGCTGCTCCACCCCAGCCTAACCAACATCACTGAACTACTGGGCTATCAGTAAAGACTCTAAAGAGGCACTTGATCATTTACATTTGTTGTTAAAATAAAAGTTTTTTTGTGTTTTTTTAAATTAATGAAAATTTAAAACCCCGTTTGATGAGATATTTTTAAACTGGCAGGGTCAAATTAGTCATGTAAGCTGCAGTTTAATGCTGGTCATCAGAGAGCAATGTATTATTATAAAGTTTTGCCACATAATCGAGGTTACATTTGGATTTTTTCACCAGAAGTGACCCACAAAGGTTCATTTGCTGCTTGAAAAGTCAATATGCATCATAAAAATGATACCAGAAAAACGCCTTTGGAAGCATTAGCGCACAAGGAATTATAGAGGAATGCCATAATATGTGAGGTGTAGTTTTTGTTTTCTAATTTTTGTCCAATACCTGCCCTAAGTAAGTAGAATATAATGTGACTAATTTGCTTGTATCATTTCCTTTCTAGTCTCCAGAGGGTGCTGAAGGCAAGGATGCTGCCAAGCTAACAAAACAAGAGGCAAGTGTGACTCCTTCCTCCCCACTAATTCTTTCTTCTATTGATCACTTCATAAAAGTAATAATATACAACTGCATAAACTGGATTAGCCAGACTGCAGCCAAAGCCCAGCTCAACTGTTGTGTCATGCAGAGCAGTAGCAAATTGGTGCCCGGGGGAGGGGGGGGGGCGATTAGTCTGTCAAAGATAAAATCCAGATTTCTCAATACAGTAACCTGTATTCTGAATAAAACAGTTCAGCAACCCAGTCATTTATTCGTTAATATATGGCATTTACATCACACATCTTGCATCTTGGAGTTCAAGGTGGCATACGTGGGGTTTGGCAGGAGGTCTCCCATCCAGGCACCGATCAGATCCAGTCTTGCTCAGCTTTACCAGGATCACCATCATGTACCTTCAGATCAGGCCTATGTTCCCCCCCCCCTTTCTACAGTGAAGACAGAAGCAGGTAGGTGAAACTCGTGGATACATATGACAATTATATTTCCATTCATGCTGATTATTAGTTATTTGTTATATTTTTGTCTGGCCATCATGGAACTCATAGTCACTTAGACTGTCCTCAGAATGTTCACAGACCTGTATAGCTTCCGCAAGGCCTTCAGCTTCGCCATGTGCCTTCAAACCAAACGTCTATAGTACATAAATTCTATGCATTGCATTATATACATTCAGCGAATTGCATACCTTATTTTATACCATTATCCTGCTTCTGTTTGGTTTCAGAGAGGGAAAGGGCACTGTGAAAAACACTGACACTTCTTCTCTTGCGTGGGGACCCAGTGGCTTCTGAGAGGTCACTATTTCTGTCCGCACAATCTCAGTTTACCTTTGCAACAGTAAAAGGTAGAAACTGGGTTGTAAGAAAAGGAGCACTGTGATTCTTGAATTTGGTGTATAATTGTATAAGAGAGTGTGAACTGGAAGGTTTCCCCAGTTGAAATGTTACCTGAGCCAGCAATGCCAGTTGGTACTTGATGAAGTTTAAACCATTACTGTCTCAGCCACATCCACTGGCCACATGAGAACAATAATGTTTTGCATTGGTATAGTGATTTAAAATGTTCAAAAAGCCTCACATATTCTATCTCAGCAAATCTTACATAAAGACTGAAATTAGCCCCATACTGAAGGGGCAGAGGAGAACACTAAGTGGTAGTGGTTTACTTTAAGGCTACCTAGTATATTTATGGAAGAGGCAAGATTTGAACAGGGGATTTCCTGGTTCATAGCTCAAGTTTCTTAGCTGTTGCACTGTAATACTGGCCCACCTTACAAATTTCTCTAACAAGTGCAACGTTTGGCGTGTTGAACACTAAACAACAGCAACAACCACCACCACCCCTCTCGATCAAACTGCTGTCTTGTTTCTCCCCCACCCCCTGTGAAGGCAGGGACATTTGGTGTACTGGGTTGTACTGGTAGGTTTCCCGTTCCTTGTGACAAACCTGTTTTGCTGCTTCCACACTTCCTCATATGTTCATAATAGGAGATAAGGGAGAAGAAGTAGAGCTTTATCCAGACTCCTAGCAGTCTGGATGAAGCCATGATGATGATGATTTTTATGATACTGACTTTTACATTCTTGCAGCTTTAGCTAGACATAATGGTAGTCAACATAAGGGCATCTGATGCCCTCTTGCAAATCCAAAGTTATATGCAAATACACTCTGAGAGCTGGACTGTTCTTATCTCTTTAGGGCATGTTGGCTGTACAAGTGAACTCATTTCTTTCTGGCACAGTGTCAGTTCATTTCGAGGGACTGCTACTGAGGCAGCATAAATGTCGGGTTCTGTTCCTTAGAAGTGGCACCACTGGGTGGGATCCTCTAGGGCAGCCAGTGCTTTCCCCCAGGGATGCCTTGAAGTATTTTCTTCTGTCTGTCACCATCAAAGGTTGTCTGTTCCAACCCTTTTGTTAAATCTCTAGCAAGCTGTCAGATTTCACATTTTTTTTGGTTTATTGTTTAGCTTTTTAAAGTAGTTTTGCTCTTGTGGGACACAGCTGATGTATTTGTACAAATCAAGGTGGAAAACAGCTGCATCATCAAATTTAACTTTTACCTTGCTATTGGATTTTTTCAATGTTTAAGCACGGTGGCCATTCAGGATAATTTTGAGCAAATTGCCATAGTTTGTTAATATTTAGTAATTACTTAATAATGATAGAAACGGCAGTGGTCCTCAGTGTACATTGTATTTTGTTATTGCGGACTTTTTTGTGGCAGAAACAATATTTATTGATTTATTTTATACCCCGCCCTCCCCGCCAAAGCAGGCTCAGGGTGTCACCACAGATTCACAAATATCATACAAGTTTAAAAAGAGTAAAACAAGATAAAATCTAAAATGGTTCATAAAGTGTTACAAGTTTTGATGGTGAATTAACTGTCCTTAATTGTCACCATAGAAAAGCCGATCAGCGTTAGATGTAAGCTGGCATTGGGCCCTATATATAATGTGGGCATAGATGTTAAGTACCTAAACAGAGTCAGCCCGCCAAAGATGTGTTCCAGGGCACTGGTTCATCAGTCGATGTTGATCTGATTAAATGTGGCATCTCAGACAAATGCTTGGTGGAAGAGCTTCGTCTTGCAGGCCCTGCGGAATTGCAAAAAATCCCACAGAACCCTGATGTACTCTGGGAGCTCATTCCACCAAAGTGGGGTCACCAGTGAGAAAGCTCTCACCCTGGTTGTGGCCAGCCTGGCATCTTTTGGGCCAGGGGGACAAGAAGATTTTGTGACCCTGACTGTAGTACTCTCTGGGGAACATATGGGGAAAGGTAGTCACTTAGGTAGCTTCTAGATTTGGGACAGGGGCAGCCCCATGTAGACTTCTAGATTCTAGAAGGCAGGGGCAGCCCCATGTGGAGAGCATTTCAGTAGTCCAATTTTTAGGTGACCAATGCATGGATCACTATTGCCAGGTCACTGTGTTCGAGGAAGGAAACCAGCTGCCTAATCAGTCAAAGTTGGTAAAAGGCCAACTGGGCAGTGGCTGCTACCTGGGCCTCCATCGTTAAGGAAGCATCCAAGAGCACTTCCAAACTCCTAACCTCCAATGTTGGTACCGGTGGCACTGCATCGAAGGTTGAGAATGGGATCCCTAACCCCGGACTACCGCATCCAAACTACTAACCTCCAATGTTGGTCCAATGTTGGTACCGGTGGCACCCCATCGAAGGTTGGGAATGGGATCCCTAACCCCGGACTACCGCAACACACAGGACCTCCATCTTTGTCGGATTGAATTTCAGTTGGCTCAGCCTAAGCCACCCAGCTACAGCTTGTAATGCCAGGTCCATATCTTCCAGTCTGGAGTCAGACTGGCTGCCCAACAGCAGATAGAGCTGGGTGTATTCTTTGTACTGATGACGTCCCAGCCCATGCCTCCAGGCAATCTGGGCAAGGGGGCGCATGTAGATGTTAAATAATATCAGGGAGAGAACAGGCCCTTGTGGCACCCCGCAGACCAGTGGGTGCCTTTGGGACAGCTGCTCCCCTAGCATCACCCTCTGTCCCTGACCTTGTAGTAAAGAGGAAAGCCATTTTAAAGCAGTCCCCTTTATCCCAGCATCAGTGAGGCAGTGGATCAGTAACTGATGGTCGACATTTCCAACGCCGTGGACAGGTCTAACAACAACAGTACTGCTGACCTGCCCCAATCCAGATGCCTTTGGAGGTCATCCGTGAGGGCTACCAGTGCCATCTCCGGCCCATAATGTAAGACCATAAGAGAAGCCAATGTTGGATCAGGCCAATGCCCCATCCAGTCCAACACTCTGTCACACAGTGGCCAAAAATACCAGGTGCCATCAGGAGGTCCAGCAGTGGGGCCAGGACACTAGAAGCTCTCCCACTGTTCCCCCCCCCCCCAGTCATCAAGAATACAGAGCATCACTTGCCCCAGAGTTCCTTCCATCTATACCTTGTGGCTAATAGCCACTGATGGACCTCTGCTCCATATGTTTATCTAATCCCTAATAATCCCCAGCATGGCGTTGGCCTTTTTTTATTGCAGTCACACACTGTCTCGACATTTTCAGTGACTTATCTACTACAACTCCAAGATCTCACTCTTGGTTAGTCTCTACCAGTTTAGACCCCATCAACATGTATTTATAGTTAGGATTTTTGCTCCAATGTGCATCACTTTGCACTTGGCCACACTGAACCTCATTTGCCATGTTGATGCCCACAGATCCCTTTGGAGTGCCTCACAATCCTCCCTGCTTTTCACCACCCTGAACAACTTCATGTCATCTGCAAATTTAGCCACTTCACTGCTTACTCCCAACTCCAAATCAATGATGAACAAGTTAAAAAGCATTGGACCGAGTACTGATCCCTGTGGTACCCCACTGCTTACCACTCTCTACTGAGAAAATTGCCCATTTATACTCACTCTCTGTTTCCTATTAATTAGCCAGTTTTTGATCCACAAGAGGACTTGTCCTTTTATCCCATGACTATTGAGCTTACTTAGGATCCTTTGATGAGGAACTTTATCAAAAGCTTTCTGGAAGTCAAGGTAAACAACATGTATTGGGTCCCCCTTGTCCACATGTTTGTTCACTCCCTCAAAGAACACTAACAGGTTAGTGAGACAAGATTTTCCTTTACAGAACCCATGCTGAGTCTGCCTCAATAGCTTTTGTTCATCAATGTGCCTATTAATACTAATGACTTTGGCGGAAGCCAGACTGGCATGGATCTAATATGGAAGCATCATCCAGAAGACTCTGCAACTGAATTGCCACCACCCTCTCGATAATCTTGCCCAAATAGGGCAAGTTGGAGACCGGCCAATAGTTTGCCAATTTGGCTGGGTCCAAAGATGGTTTCTTTAGGAGAGGGGGAACCACTGCTTATATTAGGGTATTAATGTTAGGGTAGTAAAGGCAGGGTGTGTATAAGGTCCTGAGCTTTTAAAGAAAATCTCTCCCCCTACTCATATTAAGAGCATTTAATAGAGGCACCTGCAGTATTAAATTA